TTAGGTCGGAAAATAGGAAGAACTTTTTGATGATGAGGATGGTCAAGCATTGGAATAGGCTACCTAGTGAAGTAGGTGGAATCTCCATTCCTGGAAATTTTCAAGCACAAATTAGACAGACACTTAACTGATATGGTTTGGTCAGGAATGACCTGCCTTGAACAGGGGGCTGGATTAGATGAACACATGAGGTTCCTTTCAGTCTGATTTTCCTATCATTTTATGATCCTACTGCATCTCTTGACTTTCCACTCCACTAAGCAGCAAGAGGGACTGAAGGTTATGGACTGTCTCATGATTCTTCTGACAGATAACTGACTGGAGAGTCAGCAGGCCCCTGTTTTTCTCCCCCACCATTGTAATGTACTTCACAGCCCTTATAGAATCATAGAAAATTATGGTTGGAAAGGACCTCAGGAGGCCATCTAGTCCAATGTCCTGCTCAAAGCAGGACCATCCCCAACTAGATCATCCCAGCCAAGGATTTGTCTAGCTGGGTCTTAAAAGCCTCCAAGGATGGAAAGTCCACAACCTCTCTGGGTAACCTGTTCCAGTGTTTTACTACCCTCCTATTGAGAAAATTCTTTCTCATAGAATCATAGAAGCAGGGTCAGAAGGGACCTTGTAGATCTTCAAGTCCGACCCCCTGCCTGGGCAGGAGGGAAACTGGGCTCAAGTGACCCCAGCCAGGTAGGCATCGAGCCGCTTCTTAAAGACCCCCAGGGTAGGAGCCAGCACCACTTCCTTGGAAGTTGGTTCCAGATCCCAGCCGCCCTAACTGTGAAGTAGTTCCTACAGATGTCTAATCTAAACCTACTCTTCAACAGCTTGTGGACGTTATTCCTTGTTACCCCAGGGGGCGCTAGGGGAAACAAGGTCTCCCCCAAACCCTTCTGGTCCTCCCTTCTGGTCCCCCCCTCTCATATCTAACCTAAACTTACCTTGCTACCATTTGAGACCATTGCTCCTTGTCCTGTCATCTGCCACCACTGAGAGCAGTCTAGCTTCATCCACTGAGGTGAGCAAAGTAACTCCTACAAAGCCTTGCATCTATCCTAGATGCTACCAGGTAGTTTGGCCCTGATCTTATATCACTGGGAGCTTTGCCATTAACTTCAGTGAACACAAAGTCAAGCTGCAGTATAGAGGCATCTTGAGTCCTTAGCCCCATCTGTGTTCAAAATTCAGGACCTAGACAGAATACATATTTATACTGATCTAACATACACCAGCTTATTAAATTATACTAGAATCCAAAGAGACTGGTGAGCAGCTATCTAATGGTAACTGAATGAAGTAGGTGGCTTTTATAGCACCTCACCTCTAGATGGGGAAACAAGTGGCTTGGGCAAATAGTAGAGGTGCACTGATACATCAGTCCCATATTGGATTGGCACCGCTGTAAGGAAAATTGGCTATTGGCAATCAGCTTTTTTTGGCTAAGTGGCCAATAATGTGGCTGATAAATGCCACGTGCCATGTGTGCAGCTGCAGTGAAGCACACAGGCAGCCAGGAACACAGCCCAGCAGTGTGGAGAGCAGCCAGATCTGGCTGGTAATTCTGTTGTGGGGGAAGGGGAAAGGGGAGGGAAGGAGTGTGGGGGCCAGACCGAGGCCCCCACGGTGAGGGAGGGGCTGGAGCAGGGCAGGGGCAGGGGCAGGGGCAGGGGCAGGCACAGCTGCTGGCCAGCCAGGGTGAGGTGATGGGACAACTGGAGCCCGAGCTGCGTGCTGGGAGAGGGTGCAGCTCCTGCCACTGCACACACCCCAGGAGGGCATGGGGGGTGGTGTGCCCCTGGATCTGTGCACAGTGTGAAGGTGGGTTGGCGTTGCAGGCTGGGGCCAGGGGTAGTACTGGGCTCTTCCTGGTGGGGGGCTGGGCCGGGCTATGCTTGGGGCAGGCAGCAACAGTGCTGGGAGGGGGGATTGGAGGGGCTACAGCAAATTTTGGAATGGCTGCAGCCCCTCTCCCAGCACTGCCACCACCTGCCCCGAGTGTGACCAGGCCCAGCCTCCAGCCAGGAAGAGCCTGGTGCAGCCCCAGGCACAGCCTGCAGTAGCAGCCCACTCTTGCCCTGCACACAGAACTGTGGGCACACGCCCCCCATGCCCTCCCAGGCTGCGTGTAGCAGAGGGAGCTGCCCCCCCCTTGGCGCCCCCCGACAAGCCACTTGTGGTTCTGCCCTGTGCCCCACCTCAGCTGTGCAGTGCCTGCCCCTGCCCCAGCCCCACTCCCTCCCTCACTACGGGGGCCTCAATTTGCCCCGCCATGCCTCTTCCCTTCCCCCTTGTCCCTCCCCCTCCAACAGATTTACCAGCCAAACGCTGCTCTCCAAGCTGCCCAGCTGCATATCAGAATCAGATTGGTATTGGCCAATATGGCTCATTAAAAATCAGCCATTGGTATCGGCCCAAAAAATCTCTATCTGTGCACCCCTAGCAAATAGCTTTCCTGGGATAAGACGTGAACATACAGCACCTCCATCTGTGTAATTTACAATGATGGAATTTTACCATAATCAGAGCGAGATTAATGCATAGGCAAACTAGGTACATGCCTAGAACCCTAAGTGAAGAAGGGGCCCAGTTGTGCTTATTTTACATATTATAATTATTGAGTGAAAAAATGGTAACATAAAAATTTAATCTTCAGCTGGGAGCCCACAAGTTTGTTTGCTTAAGAGTTAATCTGGCCCTGACCATAACTTTTTCAAGGGTGATTCAATAACAGATCGAGAAAAATTAATCCCATGCAGAAGTTTATATAATCTGCCACCCTGTTTTACACTGGCAGAGTGCTGGTTATAATGGTGTAAACATGTAATCTGTCCAGGCCTCCAGACTCTGCAGTAGTCTGTCCCATGAGGGAAGTAGTAAAAGCCACTGTTTAAACAGGGAGGGGAAGCGGGGGATAGCTGTAGATAATGAAGTAGAGGAACCAAAATGATATGGCAGGAAGATAGCCTGGATGACCTAGGAGATTTCTACTTTATGGCCTTGTCAAAGTGAATGTTTATTTGGTGTAGTAGCCTAGAAGACTTAAAATATTTGCAAAGGCACCAGAACTTAGCTAGCTGTCTGCTGGGAAAAGGTAGTACTGTATTATTTTTTTCCTATTTATTCCACAAGCCAGTTATTATATAGCCATCCTATATTTGATGCATTTGGGATAATTTAATCAAAATATAGTTTTAACTAACACTGGTATTTTGCCGCAAGGGCCAAACAAAATTTAACAGACTGATTCAGATTGCCAAGTATGATACAAATAACACCTCTGTGTATCTGTTTAGTGTTCTGTGTGATATTTTAATTCAATATTGCCAGAGCTGCAATCAAAATAAATAAAACATTAGCTAAAACCATATTAGAATTACAAAAATATTGTACCTCAAAACCTATTAAAATTGTATATTGGTTTCTAAGCAACCATGGTCTTGTCTTCCCCTTTCTCAGTCACCATCTTTATTGTTTTTCTTGTATCATTTTTCATATCTGGTCTTTATTTAAAATGTCAGTTCAGTTCTTTGGTGCAGCGTTAATTAATTCTACATGTTCTATGAAGTGCCTAACACATTTGAATATTAAATAATGGTGTGAAATAATAGCATTTGTTTTCCATCTGAAATAATCAAAGGCAAAACATTACCTCCCTACTATTTAAAATATAAGCAGTGTAGGTTCATACTAAAGTAACCACCGTTGCTGATTGTCACAAATAAATCCATTGGAAGAACAAGTACATCTCCCAACAGAAGGCCGAACCAAATGAAACCACTCTAGTAGGGGCTAGGAGGAAGAAAGGGGTACACAACTTTGCCACAATTCTGACTAGCCTGTGTCCATGGATGGGGAGAGGGTGGGGTTGTGATACTCAGAGCACCCAGGTGATGAAGATATTTGGTGTATGCCTAAAAGGCACCTATTTCCAGACAGTATCTCAGAGCTAAGTTTGCTAGAGTGAATTGTTATTTAAAATAGCAGTGCTATACATTGTATTCAGTTAACTAGAACAACAATTCAGATTTGGACCTGAGAGCTTAGTGAAGAATCCCAAATAGCCTGTCTGTCCTGTTTCACTTTGCAGGAGATGCATGTGAAGACACCTGTGGTCAGAAGCTCTGCTGATCTGTGTCTTTTGGGTGGAACAAAGCACAGCGGAGGGTGTGCAGGTGGGCTAAGGTGAACTCTGAATAGTATTGCAACCCCGTGCATTCAACAGCCACGAACTTGGCCTCAAAAATCATAATATTGGCTTAAAAATCATGAGAACTTTTTGAAAAAGAGTTAAATGTTGGGTTCTTTTCTTTGCCTTGTCATTTATGAGACTTTAGGAAACACTTGGGCCATGTTTTGAAACTTTACTGAGAAACTGAGTGCCAGAAACTTGTTTTAAAAATAAAATTGAAAATCTGATATACTCACAGAATTGCTAGACTCCAGGAACTTGGACTTTAAGTAAAACATCAAATATATTGCAAAGCTGTGAGAGTTTTTGATAACACTGTATAAATAAACTAGGATGTCTAAGAAGAATCTCTGACAAACTTGTTATTGATACATCACAACAAAAAGGGCTTACATGTGTATTTTAACACTGGAATCTTAAATATCTAAATTGATGATTATGAAAGTGCATTAACTTCCTTCAGGAGAAAGCAAAGTTTTCAAAGGTTTGAAGTGATGTAATGAACTGCTGCACAATCAAGTAGTTTGCCTTCCTCAAAATACTGAATGGCACTAGCTGTGCTAAGTACAATTGAATACAAACTAACGTGGAACTTCTAGACAGATGCTTTGTTGGAGCCACTATTTAAAAAATAAAACTATAAAAGAAGCTTTTCAAAAATAAAAATCCTAACTCTTTAACTATTCCTATCTTCAAAACCATTTTTTTCTGATTCTCCTCAATCCTTGCCCAAAGGACAACACAAAATTCTATTCCTTGTATAAATTATGCATGAAAAAATATCAGGGACAAAATAGCATTTACAGGGTATTAGATAAGGAGGATTGGGGAATGGATAAAACTCTAGCAATGTTGGAAAGCTGGCTACAGGTCTAATTATAGAGTTGCTCCCATGTTTATATTCCATATAGATACTTTTTATATTCCTGCAAGATGCCAGCAATTCTAAGCTGATTTTCAAACCTGTTTCACTGAGTAATTTTATTATAAAAATAACAATATGCATATTTTGAGGTTGAAAAGTTAATGAGAATGTTATTGGTCATGGTTTTCTTTGTCAGATGTTTATATAATATTTTAAAGAATTAAATATGGTGCAGCCTCACTGAACTAATATATTTGTTTTGCAGGTCTGAGTACAGCCGTATGTCCTCTACTAGCAGTGAGTATAATTTTAAGATTTTGTATAAAATCTTACTCTTTCCTTTTTCCGTGGCTACTAAGCTCTATCTAACAATGCTGTGAAGAAAACTAGTCTAATAATGCTGTGAGGAAATAGCCTGACTGTGTATAGAGTTTAGTGGGTCTATCTACGTTGCTCTCTATCACCATCTATCACGAACGTTTTTAAATTGTGAAGAAATGCTAATCAGAGGACAAATTAAAAAAGACAAGTTTTGCTTGTCAGACCACTTGTACAGACCATTTGCACATGTTTTTCAGTTTACTGAAATCATTTCTTCAGCATGTGGTCTGGATTTGCAAAAGCTTTTGGCACTGCTTTAACTCTGCTCCCATTGAAGTCAGTACTAAAATTCCCTAATTTGGACTCTACCTTATATGGCAGTATAAGATAGACTTACCACTGATACACCTACCATGCACTGGCTCACTTGATCTGTGTGTTATCTGGCCAGGTACATAAGGGGCTCTGCTGAGTTGTTTGGTCCATGCAAACAATAGTATAACCAGGGGGTGTGGGACGTAGACCAGGGAAGCAGCTTCAGGTGCCACTTCTGTAGGCAGCACAAAAATAGCTATGATGCAGCTGCCCCTGGAGCAGAGCTTCCGGGCTATCCTCTGCATGCAGACAAATCTCTACGTATTGCTTCTTATTGTTTCTTTCTACCACCAATCTAATATTAGGTCCAGACAAATATATTAAAATATATTGAAATCAATGAGCGTGTGTCTAAATAGAAGCTAGGCATCTTGAATACTTTTGTGGATTTGGTTTTGAGTCCCTGGGGCTTTAACAACCCATGCAGAGCTGGTGCAATCAAAAAAAGAGAGGGATGGAAATGTGTATTCAAAATAAAATCAAAAGTAGAGAAAGTATGGAAGATCATGAGGTGGAACAGACTTCATCACTGTGTGTGTCCCCATAGCACAATGCTTTATGTGTGGAAATGTCCAAGTTAGCATTGCACTACATGGGCATACTGTGTGTGGGTGTTGTCCTAGATTGGTCCTGCATTTCACATCAGAGTGACAGCTTCATTTCAGAGGTGTTTGTAGTGAGATACCTGAGTTCCCAGGGTCTTATAAATGTGCATTTAAACAGACAGGTTGGCCAGTCAGTGTGGGTATGGCCAGCCTGAGTCAGAACCAGGCTTAAAGATATAAATGTTAACAACAGTAAGAAAGTAGGTTAGAGAGAGAGCACAGTTCATAAACATGGTACAGCTAGTCAATTTGAGTGGAGCCTCAGACCAAATGAGTTTGTAATGATTAATATCATTTCAGTAAAGGCCACAGGAATTAGAAATGATTGAGTGCTTATTGTAAACTGATGCCAAGAAAACACACGGGAACAGAATTCTATGAGGCAGTTCTTTGTCTGAGTTTAAAGAAGGGAGAAACTGAACAGAGTATCCTGGCTTTTCCAAATATTTCTTCTGAACAGATTAGATTTCAGGTTAACTAACTGATAAAAGATGAAACACAGTGTCTGGTTTCTTTTTTCCCTGTTTCAGTGATGTGATATGGCATTTTTTTCTGTTTTTTTGCCAACAGGAATTTCAGAGGGTGCTTTTCAATCTTCCAAAATGATGGTTTCATTTCTTTTCAAAAGCATTTTCTCAGTTATTGGAGTTCTGAAGTTCTGTATCTACTGCTCTCTGAACCCCAGAAATGCTTATTCAAGCACAACAGCAAACAATCTCTTCTTGTCAAAGCCAGGGGTGTTTCTCTTGTTTCTGTGCTATGGTGAGCACTACAGAAATTCAGAATGATTTCCACACCTTGCAGACCTAATCATTTTAAAAATCAAATAAGAAAACTGCTAAAATTTCTTCATTCATAGAGATTCTGGGGGGAAACAGTGAATGCTTTTGGTCAGTTCCACATATATTTCAGTTCTCTATTTAATTCCAGAAGTCCTTATGCAGCCAGAAGTAATACTTTTTGTATTTTTTCCCATTTCATAAAAATAATGCAAGCTGAATTGAACCATTAAACAATAAAATAGTCTGTAAGTCTGTATCTTGAACTGATGTGACTGCCTGAAATTTAGCTCTCTCCTGTATATTCATGTGTCAAACTAGCAATACAGGTCTTTCCTCTACACAAATTATTTTAATATAATCCCAGCTTCCTGCTGGCAGGGATCATTTTCTTTGTGATTGGGGTCAAAATTCGATACATCAACTTCTTCCATTTTTATTAAAATAATTTTTGGATTTGATGTCCATATGTGTCCCCTCCTCTGACTCAGTATAGGCCCCAGCTCAGAATGCATACTGCCAGGTGCTGTCACCATACCAGGCCAAAACTCATAATTACTGGTCCTTGTAGTAACAATCATTTGACAAGTAATCTCACAAAATGAGGCTTAAAGCAAAGTATTTCTCATCCAGGAAACTGGGTATTTAATCTATTACTTTGCTTTGTTGTTACTTTGCATATGAATGATATAAACACATTCAGGGTTGGGGGGGGGGTGGTTTCCCTTATAACAGGTTTGTCATGCAGATGGGTGATTTTAGCTACATCCTAGCTACAGTTTCTCACATTAACTGTAGTGGCCTGGATGTTGGGCTAACCATGGCAGTTCAGGATGTGGTGGGGATTACAAAGGTATTTTAGCACCAGCCTTTTATCAGAACTGGAAAGTATTATCATTCCAACTGAGACAGAAGAGTTGAGGAGATGGGACAGGCTTTTTACATACCAATTAAAAAATATAGTGCCTCTTTCTCTCTCTCTCCTGCTTCCAAGACAAATTAAATTGGTTAAATGTTGGCATTTAACTTTGTATTTCATAGCTTTTGTGTGGTCAGTCTGGTCAGACGGTACAGGACTATTAGCCATATTTGGACAGTACAGAATATGAACTCCTGCAGGCTTTCCTTTCTACTCTGTAGGGCCTTTACTCCAATGCATCCCTGATCCTGACTGTGGCTCCTACTTGCTAGCAAACACAACTAAATACATTGTAATATGCTTCTTTTAATTTCCAACTTTAAAAAAATAAAGTTTAGCCCTTGGCTTTACTTAATAGCCACATAAAAATTGTCTGATGCAGATCGTACGCAGATAACATCCTGGGGTAGTAGTGATTGCTATGTCCTCTGTAAAGAGCAAAAACAATGTCCTGATGTTTACACTTACGTATTTGATTTCATCCCAAAGGATTTCACAAATTATGGGCATCCCATAGAGATCCATTGTAAGGAACAGAAGCTGCTCTGAGCACTGAAGCTAGAAACTGCTTGGCTCATAGCAAATCCCACAATGGTGAGAGAAAGGGAAGAGGAGAAAAAATATAGGGGAGAAGTATTAAGGCAAGCCCCTGCTTTTATAAAGTATTCTTTGACTGTATTAATTTCTTTTGGGATAGTGCCTTTATAGCCATATAATTTCTAATATAGAAAGGGCTCCAATCCTAACCAGGACCTTTAGCTTCTACTGTAATCCAAATAATAACGCTAGTAATAATAATAACTCAGAAACCAGGGAACATGTGTCATGTGCCTCATCTGAAAATCCCACTCTAATGAATTGCAATTTCTTCAGCCCACAGAGATTAAGGGCTAACTTGGTTCTGTCCAGATTTTAATTAATGGTTTCAGGAAGTGTTGCTTTTCAAATTTGAGGCTTAGACCAATAAGCCATTTTATCTGGTCAGTTTGCAAATTAAATCCAGCAGGAAAAAGCAGAGGCATAACAGGGCAGCTCCGTTCCCTGGGACAGCATTGGTGTGTGAGGCAGCTTGTATGCCTGTTGGGGACACCATGGCCAGTTATCAGCTGCAGTAGTTGCTAATTTGGCATGTCAGTCTGAAGGTGACTCTTGGGACTACTGCCCCAGTCACCCCGCACCCTCCTCAATTACCGTCCTGGGCAAGAGTTTGCCATTGGGCTTCTGAAGAAAGATTTTGTCGGGTGTGTCCAGTGGACCCACCAAGGTCCTTCATTGTGGTTGCTGCACAACTGCTGTAAAGAAGATTGCAGAAACTTTGTAGGCTGCCCTGACTCTATAACAGCATAAAAGAGCCACTGGGTGTGAGGGAAAGAACCAAAGCAGGGGGTAAAATTGTTAGAGGTATGAATAAACAAATTTGTTCTCCAGCAGATTTTGTACTATAGTTTTATCATATACTGATACAGGTAAAGCACAGAAGTTTACAGAATGCTTCTCTGCACTTTTATAAAATGCAGCAGCAAGTCACTGCAACATTTTCACTGTGGCTGTTGCTACGGAGACAGTGTGCCAATTTGTCCCTTTTACAGAGTGGAGTAAGTAGGCCAGGCAAACCTGTGTAGATGTTACTGTTTTTAAAGAATTGAAGCCCTTAGAGGTCTAGAAATGCAAGTTCTGTATTGAAGAAAAGTGTTGGGCTGTTTGGGGGATTTTTTTAAAGGTTTACATTTATAATTGACTGATTCCCAATGCGGAGGAAAGGGGGGAAAGGGGCCAAGAGGCTTCCCTGGCTGAGCAGAGAAATCCAGAGCAGCCTAAGGGCAAAAAGGGGGGCATATAATCAGTGGAAACAGGGAGAGATTACTCAAGAGGAGTATACCTCCTCAGTTCTCAGTTGTAGGGAGGCAGTTAGAAAGGCCAAAGCTACCATGGAGCTGAGGTTGGCATCCCAAGTTAAGGATAACAAAAAATTGTTTTTCAGATATATAGGGAGTAAAAGAAAGGCCCATGGCGGAATAGGACCGCTACTGAATGGGCAAAAGCAATTGGTGACAGACAGGGGGGACAAGGCTGGACTTCTCAATGAGTTCTTTGCCTCAGTGTTACTAAACAAGGGGCAAGACAAGTCTCACAATGGGATTGTAGAGAGACAACAGCAGGGCACCAGACTACCAAGTGTTGACCCTGAGATATTGCAGAGTCACTTGGAAGAACTGAATGCGTTTAAGTCGTCAGGCCCGGATGATCTCCATCCGAGGGTACTGAAGGCACTGACTGATGTCACTGCACAGCCACTGG